GCGGAATCGGGAAGGGGGGGTGGGCGGGAGGGGAAGGAGGGGAGGTCCTCGCTTCGGCTTCCGACCTTTCGGGGTGGTCTGTCAGTGGGTGCGGACCCCCGGGCGACAGGGATGAGGGGTCAACCCAGCGGTGAACCCCTTTCCTGCCTCCCTGGCCCGTTGCCCTCGGATCCGAACCCTTGACCCACCCTCGGCCCCTTCCTTTAGCGGCCGGAGGTCAAGAGGGCCGGCAGAAACCAACCCAAGCCGCCCCCTTCCGTCCCGTCAGTGGGTGCGGACCCCCGGGCGACAGGGATGAGGGGTCAACCCAGCGGTGAACCCCTTTCCTGCCTCCCTGGCCCGTTGCCCTCGGATCCGAACCCTTGACCCACCCTCGGCCCCTTCCTTTAAGGCCGGAGGTCAAGAGGGCCGGCAGAAACCAACCCAAGCCGCCCCCTTCCGTACCCCTGCAAATCCTTTCCCTAAACCGAAAAAAAAATGGGGCCGGAGGTTGGAGGAAAAGTCGGCGCTGCCCTTATTTTCGGGCCCAGCCGGTCTCGACCCCCCTCCGCGCAGAAAAACCTCTTTCTCCCCCTCCCGCATGCACTTAAAAGAAAAAGAAAAATCCCCCAAGGGATTTCTTGAGACTTGGAGGGGGGCTGTCGGATCCCAACCCTCGATGCGCCCGGCCCAGTTTTGCCCTCCTAGACTGCCGGCCGCGCGTTCTTTCGGGTTTCCTTTCGGGTTTCCGGAATTCTTTCGGGATTCTCTCCCGGCCCGGCTGAGGCGCCCGCGCCGGGCGATCTTCCTTTCCCAGAGGCGGTGGTTTTTCCTCCCGGGAGGAACCGGGTCGGATCCTGCTCCGCCTCCGAGCGCCGATCGAGGAGCTTCCTTTCTCCTGACCACCGCTTTTTCGCCTTCTCTCTCTCTCTCTCTCCCTCCTCCAGCGCCTCCGGTCGCTTCGGGTCGTCCTCCTCGTCCTCGTCCTCCTCCTGCTGGCGCGCTTCCTCCCGGCCGCCGGCATGCCTCGCCCGGGCCGCAACACCTACAGCGACCAGAAGCCGCCCTACTCGTACATCTCGCTGACGGCCATGGCCATCCAGAGCTCGCCGGAGAAGATGCTGCCGCTGAGCGAGATCTACAAGTTCATCATGGACCGCTTCCCTTACTACCGGGAGAACACGCAGCGCTGGCAGAACTCGCTGCGCCACAACCTCTCCTTCAACGACTGCTTCATCAAGATCCCGCGGCGCCCCGACCAGCCGGGCAAAGGGAGCTTCTGGGCGCTCCACCCGAGCTGCGGGGACATGTTCGAGAACGGCAGCTTCCTGCGGCGCCGCAAGCGCTTCAAGGTGCTCAAGGCCGACCCGCTGGCCCCCTCCAAGCCCGGCGCCGCCGAGGCCGCCCAGTACCTCCAGCAGCAGGCCAAGCTCCGGCTCAGCGCCCTGGCCGCCGCCGCCGCCGCCGGGGGAGGAGGAGGCGGCGGAGGAGGCGGAGGGGGGCCCCCCCTGCCCCA